ATGCCTTATTAATTTGATGTTTTAAGGTTATGTTTACAGAAGAGTAGATATTAATAAAAAAAAATGTAAATTTACGACATTTTACACAACTAATAAATACATTCCAAAGGTAAATAGTTTTTCTGTTACCGTCGCTAAAGAATCTACAACATGGGTGATCTCCTAATTATAATAATATGTTCTACTTACGTTGAAAAGTTACCTACCGACCTACCAACCAAAAATCTTAATTTGTAATTCCTTAATTACCTATAGTATATGAAGTGATCTTGTAAAATTATTAAATGGGTTGATATATTAAATACAATTTAAATGTTTGTTCGTTAATACAAATTTTCTTACATAAAACATTTAGTTTAGGCTCTCAAATTACGATTTACAAATCAATTAAAATCATACATTTTTGGCATTATGTAAATTCATGAACATGGAAAAGATTTATTATAAGTTTGATAGTAATTTTAGTCCTTAAAAATGTTCACTTTCAAGTAATTTAGCTCTGTCAAAAGTGCCCACTATATCAATATAGTATAAATCTTATATAGCGAGTATTACAGATCTGTACCTGAAATAATTAAAATATAATAGAAATCAGATCACTTCAAAATGTACTACCTACTTTTAAATTAGTTTTTCTATAGTTTTAGTCACTTTACCACCTCTTATTTTTATACCTTCTTCTAGGTCCCTCACTTTAATTGATCCTTATTTATCCATTTATCAATATTAATCATTATTTTCTCAAATATATCATTTAAAACATAAAATTAAAAAACGCACATTATCCACATGGAAGTGACGTTTAATATTGACCTCACATTTTAGTAGTGCCATCTGATGGTGATACTTTGCCAGTTACCCCTCATTTCGTCAGGAATGTCAAACTCTGCGTTCATTTTGACTTCTAACTTTGACACATACATAAATTATTAGGCATTCCAAAGACCTGTTTATGGAGGGTAGAGAAAAGGAGGACAATCTTATATGGATCTTTATATTAAAAATCTGATGTGTCCAACACATGACTTTCCTATCTAGTTATTAATGCTTTTTCCGGTTATTTTGTACAACCTATTGCAGCACCTCCATAAATGTTTAGAGGATAAAATAAATATATACATTTTCCACATTCATCTACCTCGAAACATTTTTCTATATTCATTAAAAATGAAAATACTGAAAAATTTAAATTTAGCACTTTTCCTACAATTTTTCCATTACGGTCCATTTTAGAAAAATAATGTATAAACAAAAATTATAGAGATCGATATCGCAAACAACTTTTATTTCAACAATTTTCATAAAAATCAGAATTTTGCACATTTTGTCAAATTTCTCGAATACGGACCATTTCAGAAAATTTTGACATAAAACAAAAATTATAGATAATAACTTTTATTTGAATAATTTTCTTCTCCAAACATAAATAACAGATATATTCCATAAAATATAAAAACGGCCTCCCATAAAATACCCCCCCAGATGTTCCGACTTTGTCCAAAATCTAATAATTTCACGTCAGGCCGAAATAAACCTTAACTTTAAAATTTAATGTTTTTTCCTTTATCCGTTTTTGAGTATTCTTCAAATTTCGAAATTTACACATTTTCTCAAATATCTCGAATACGGTCCATTTTAGAGAAATTATGTATAGAATAAAAATTATAGAGAATTATATTACAAACAACTTTTATTTGAACAATTTTTATAAAAAATTATTTTTTTTACATTTTGTCAAATTTCTCGAATACGGACCATTTTAGGAAAATTTTGTATAGAACAAAAATTATAGATAATAATATTGTAAGTAACTTTTATTTGAAGAATTTTCTTCTCCAAACGTAAATAACGAATATATTCCATAAAATATAAAAATGACCACCTATAAAGTACCCCCCCAGATGTTCCGACTCTGCCCAAAATCTAATCAGCTCATTGGACGCTAAAACAAAGCTTAAGTTTAAAATTTGGTGTTTTCATGTGTATCGGTTCATGAGTTATGCGTTATACAGACACACACACATACAGACACACACACACACACACACACACACACACACACACACACACACACACACACACACACACACACACACACACACACACACACACACACACACACACACACACACACACACACACACACACACACACACACACACACACACACACACACACACACACACACACACACACACACACACACACACACACACACACACACACACACACACACACACACACACACACACACACACACACACACACACACACACACACACACACACACACACACACACACACACACACACACACACACACACACACACACACACACACACACACACACACACACACACACACACACACACACACACACACACACACACACACACACACACACACACACACACACACACACACACACACACACACACACACACACACACACACACACACACACACACACACACACACACACACACACACACACACACACACACACACACACACACACACACACACACACACACACACACACACACACACACACACACACACACACACACACACACACACACACACACACACACACACACACACACACACACACACACACACACACACACACACACACACACACACACACACACACACACACACACACACACACACACACACACACACACACACACACACACACACACACACACACACACACACACACACACACACACACACACACACACACACACACACACACACACACACACACACACACACACACACACACACACACACACACACACACACACACACACACACACACACACACACACACACACACACACACACACACACACACACACACACACACACACACACACACACACACACACACACACACAGACATCATCGCGAAAATAGTCAAAACGGATTCAGGGGACCTCAAAACGTAAAAATCCGTCAAAAACTCGAGGTCGAAAAAAATCATGATTCCTATACTTTCCTTATATCTGTATACAGATAGGAAAGTAAAAAGTGGCCACCAAAATGTATACAATTAAGATGGCGCTCGTGTAGCCAGGGGACAAAATCCAATGCTATATAGTCATATAGATTGCTCATTTATAATTAAATCAGACAGGAAGCAGTAAATTGAGACCTTCGTGCCATTTTAATATAAGAATTATTTATTGTTTATATTATTATTTTTCAATAAAATTTGACTATTGTCGTGTATTGTCAAAATTTATCTACGATCACAGAACACTTACTCTTCTACGATCAGTCACTTTTCACGCTGTAGTTTTTAGTTTTTTATGGTTGAGCAATATTTATTACTATATACATCATTGGTGTCATTGTGTGATCTGAATTATCGACTGTCGACGTCCCCTGGGCACAGAAGCGCCATCTTAATTGTATACATTTTGAGGGACACTTTTTGTATACAGAGATTGTTCTCCTTTCCTATACCCTCCATAGACCTGTCAAACTGCTGACAAGTGGGAAATGTAATTTAGATATGGCAACCCTGTGAGCCTGGTGTCATTGACAGGGTCAATAATACATATATAGTTATATAGATTGCTCAAAGCGGGTCGTTTACGAGCGGCCATATTGCCTCGCACGTGCTCATTAATCAAAATTGATTTTGCAAAAATGTGTTTACAAACCAATTATTATTCTTTGGATATAGTAAAAAAAAATAATTACCTACATTTTTTACTTCAAGGCATAAGCTTGTTTATTTTAAACAATATGGATGATCAATCTATGTAACTATCTGTTTCACTAACCTTGTCAAATGACCAGGACTACAGGGTTGCCATAATTTTGTCCTATCATAACCTGTCAAAACCCACTGGTAACCATTTTGTTTGGAATGCCTAATTGTGATTTTATGACATTTACGTTTGCCAGCATTCACCTAGCAACGATAGTGCCTACTATGATAAAATGGCAATGTTATTAAAATCAAACCGGATTTTTTAAAATGCTGAATTGTATTGTGATTGCCATAACGAACTTGTATTCCATAAAAGTTTTTATGCACCGCACGCATAAACAGATGTGTATACCCCCCAGGGACTTACATCACCCTCAGGGCCCTTGGTATATAAATAACTATCTTTATCTATTAGAAATTTTGATCTGCCGCGTAAAAATTTAAATGCTAAATAGACTAAATCGTTGTTATATTTTTATAGCATCACTTTACAGAGATATTTAAGAAACAAAAAGGTGGAAAACCCTCCCATTTAAAAACTACTAGATATTTATTAAAACAAAAACATCACATTTCATAGATTTAATACAGAATGGCGCGTAAATATTCTTTTTTAATTCCATTTAAAAATTATTGGCATTTTCTGAAAATTTCTCAAAAATAAAGGCTCAAAAGGAATTAGAAATATTCAAGGTGTTCGGTTTGCTCTAAAAAAGTATGTTATTAGTGTAGGGTACTCTAAAATTTATGAATGAACGGCACGTAAATGTTCTTTTTTAATTCCTTTTAAAAATTATCGAAATAAATACTTTTCAAAGGCTTTCAATACAATCATGGTTTCTACACCCTAAGTTTTGTTATTATTGGCATTTTCTAAAAAGTTCGCAAAAATAAAGGCTTAAAAGAAATTAGAAATGTTCAAGATGTTCGGTTTACTCTAAAGAAGTACGTTATTAGTGTAGGGTACTCTTAAATTTATGATGTAGCGTTACACACACCCGGTATATTGGGTACCTACTGTCGATAAACAATAAAACCGGAAAATAAAATTGCCGCTTTTTTCCAATTTATTTATGTTCTTTTCAAAGAATCGACAACACTAATTGCCGTTAAAAATTATTTCCACCGGAACAGAAAATATTCATCCTCTAATTACTTCCCCATCAGACCCTATCCAAGCACAAGCATATTAAATCCTGATGTATCGTTTAACCCAATCAATATGATCCTTTTTTAAACCCGTCCCCGAAACTTCAACTCAACTTACCCTCTTTTACATTATCCTTATCGACTGGATCTCCAGTAGAACCAAAAAACACTGGTAGGTACCGCGATACACTCGCTGCCCTTGTACTGGTGTCACTGTGTTGTTTTACTCTCGTGTATAGCAAGAGAGGTAACAGGTGATAAATCTGCGGGAACAACGCGAAAAGTGCTGTTTAGCTGTAGCTGCACGGATGAGGGCCGGAATAAGACTGGCACTGGCTGTAGGAAAGCAGGGCGAAGGGCATTGCAGAGCCGTGACGCGACACAGGGTCCTTTTCGCTTTCCTGCTTCAAAAATTATCCTTGTAGTGAGTGTGTCTGTCCGAATAATTACTAATTTGCTTTTGGAACATTTTTAGCTGAAACAATTCGAGAGAGCAGAGCTGCAAGTTTTTGAATTTAAATGAAGAAAAAAATGTTTACCTGTCACCTCTAAAACATTAATATTATAAAGAGTGAAATGTGTCAAATTTCTACAGCCACCTTGTTCAAATAAAAAAACGGAGTATATTAATTCGAGAGACGCTAAAATGGTGGTTCCCACCTTATCGGGACTAAGACCCACAAGGGTAAACTCGCAGCGTAAAAAAAACGAGAAATGATTTAACTTGGAACGAAAGACCGAAAGCCGATAGTAGTAATAGGACGTTGAATTTTTTGGTTTGTGAAGCATTGGCATTACTTAGGTTAAACCATGTGATGATTTGATTTATAAAACCATTCTATATCGCCTTTTGATTAGGGTTTACAAACTTGTTTGAGCAATTTATCCAATAATAATTGGCCCCTTTACTTCTTAAGCCTGCTGATTTAAAATATTTGGGGTTTTTACTTCACCTATTTATATAATATTAATAAAGGACAGAAGGATGAGTATTGCAACTATGTGAAAAGAAATAAATTGGGTTTCAGTCCAGAATTATGTTCAGTACATGACTAATATTTGTTTATAAAATAAAAATAATATAGTATCATCGCATCAGATGTAATAGAAAAAATTCAATATAATTAAGTGGCGATGGGAAACAGTAACAAAGCCTACACAGAACACGAGGCAAAATAACCTTAGCAGTTGAAGCCGATGACACAAAAAAAAAATCGCAATATCACAACTATAATACAACAAGCCAATTTGACTTTTATTTACGGCAAGCCATCACTAAAAGTTCCCAAAGTACAATTTTTATTAAAGGTTTGCAAAAATGTAATACACTGCCTACAGAAATTAAAAAAACATAAATGTATTCATACCTCAAACAATACTTGATAAATAAACAGAACGGATATACTTTTTTGTGATAATACTCTTTAAACCTGCCCTTTTTAAGTATTTTCCTTAATTTGTTGTTATTTTACCTGCATTTATTATAAATTATTTCTGTTTTTAAAAAAATTACTTGATGTTATATTATTACTACCTACTATGTTTAAATTAATATTTCTGTATATATTTGACTACCATCGTAAATTAACAGTTGCTAAATAAATAATTAATATATATAATTTTTCATTTTTTGCTTTATTGAGAAACAAAACTTACTAGGGGTCTACTTTAACACAAAAATAGTTTTGCGACTATGGGTTATAGCAACTTATTGCCACAAAATTATTTATGTGTTAAAGTAGATCCATAGAGAGCAATATAATTTACAAAGGCCTTCTTTCAACATACAAATAAATGACAACTTTATAATTAAAATGAAATATACAAGAAAATACCTCGGTATCATAATTGATTAAAATTTGAAATGGGTTGATCACATTACGTCATTAACAATCAAAGTAAGATGATTCATTTTTAAATTTTATGAATTGAGGAGTTTACTAATTATTATTTACAATTCTCTGGTTCAATCTATTTTGCGATAAGGTATAATGTGGACTATATGATATTGCACTTCAACCCCTTAATGTAACCCAAAATTGTATAATTAAAATTATCTACAAAAAAGAGCCATTCACACATCACAGTTGACATCTTAATACTTGACAGGCACAGCCAAGCATTATTCTGATTTTTGCCAAATAAAATGGCTGGTTAACTATTCTATGGAGTTGCGAAAAAGAGCCAGTAAATTTGATGAATGTGTTTTTGTAGCTAGGGGCGAAATAGTAGTAAGCTTAAGTTAGCATCATTATAAAAAAGTAATTTTTTAGAAACTGCTTATATATTTTTCATAAATTGGCAGGCTTGGCGACTAATTTCGAATAAAAATAGCCTCCAAAGTGGCTATGGTTGCAAGTATGTAACGGTTGGAACCGTTATTCTGACACAACCATCTCTTTAATGTCATTTGTCGTCTTCTTTTTCCTTTATTCGCCTTGTGATAATTATTTTTGACTTGAATGTCAACGAATTAAGTTGATTTGAAATTTGAATTTTAATATATCTTGGTCATCCGATGTACTAACTAATTTTTATCTATCGTATAATCCGTCTGATTTTGTAAGGTAAGTTTTAATACTGATATATTGTTGAAAATATATATTTTGTACAAGAATTTCTTAAATAAAATGTAAAATTTTGAACATAACCTCAACAATGGGTAACACATGTTGGTTTTATATAAAATTATATACTATTTTGTTTGGAATAAGATATTATGGCTACGGTCGATATTAGGTCCAGTAATTTTGTCACTTTTTTCATAAAAATTAAGTAAAACCATAATATTTTTACACTTTTTAATCTTCTATAAGTGTGCACTAACCTAATTAAAGTAACAAATATTATTAAAGCACAATTGTAAGCTAAAAAATTAAGAATATGCATTTATTCACTACATTCTCACGTAGCCATATTGCGCCTGTGCGTGATTTTAGCGATGTTGCCAATTGCTTTTTGTTATAAATAAATATATTCATGGTAATGCCGTTCTATATTATTTTTTATGAATAATATGACAACTGATATTTTTATTTCTATAAATGTGGAGTGTCAAACATAGTAAAAAAACGTACATACCAGGAATGACAGTGGCTATTTTTTTAATAGCTCCAAGCCAAATGATAAAACTAGAATATAAATGTGTTTATATGAGACTTTTCATTTCAATTATTCAATTTGAGCTGTGTCCAGGCCGTTGGAGTCTAAGCCGGTCGGTGTAGCCAGGTATGGGTTGATGTTTTTTGGTGGCGGCGACGCCGCCGCCCTACGATAAGTCGTTGCTTCGTTTTCTTGTTACATATTTATAAACTGGTATGCGCAATCGCAAGAAATCATGTAAAAAAAGTATACGTTTTCAATTCAATTTGAGCTGTGTCCAGGCCGTTGGAGTCTATGCCAGTCGGCGTAGCCAGGTATGGATTAATGTTTTTTGGTGGCGGCGATAAGTCGTTGCTTCGTTTTCTTGTTGCATATTTATGGATCAGTATGCGCAATCACAATTTTCCATTAACTACTAATTTTATCACAATCCGGCAACGTTGTAATTATATTTTCTAAATTTGACAGAAACCATCGAGTTTCCATGTTTACAGTCGGCAAAATGCTGATTTTTATAGAAATTAAATAATTTTTTTTTGCCTAAATAATGCATTTACAGCAATTTTTTTTTGTTAATGTACTATTTAAAATACGCTCTTTCTGATAAAAAATAAATTTCTTTAAAATTTTACTGGACCTAAAGTCGACCGTACCTGATATTATGCTTTACTATGTTTAAATATGTTAAATAAGATTTTTCCTTTTCATATTAATTTTAGTCTCTGTGAAATTATTCATTTAATAGTTTTAAATTATTCATTTAATAGTTAAAAGCATTTTATCTAAATCCTGTTTAATTCCCTATTTCCTGTCTTAACATTTTAACCTTTTCTTTTTAGCATGGCTATATCTAGACGGTTTATTTGAATTCCTATCAAGAAGTTTTATGGTTTTTATACCTAGAAGTTTGTTTTGGTTTTGGTACAATCTGAAGACCGTGGTTTGGTTTATCTATAGAAGATCTACACGTTTCGAGTTAAATTAGAATACCAAATATCATGATCGTTCAAGTCGCAGAATTACGAATAAGGATACCGGATTCCTTTTGAAGTTGCCTGGAGATATACCATGCAATAACATTCCTTATATTACCTTCTTTTAACTAAAGATAAGTGTTTTTAAATAAATCATCTTAAATTTGAATTAAGTAAAACTATGTGAATTAGAATTTGCTACTACCATATATAAAACTTGGTTTAAATATAATTCGTTAGTGGTTAGTGATTTTCTATATTTTTATCACTAATCTAAAGTCAAGTTTAGTAAGTTTTAAATATAGTGGTGCCCAACTTCTTTTTCAAAGTTATTCGAGTTATATAATAACCTAATCCACGCCCAATCAATTGAGCTTAAACACATTATAACAAATAGATAAAATATCAAGTATCACGTTACAAGTATGACGGTCGCAACCCGCCTTAGAAATCTCACCTTTAGAATCAACAGCTGTTGTTTGACAGGTCATTGGAGAATGGAATGTATAGAATGTAAAGAATGTTAAGAATTTTACACGTTAGGAATGCTTGGAATTTGCTAAATTAGTCACATGAGAAATGCATAGGCTGATTTTATAAAAATTGATATTGAAGTAGTTAGGATGAACCGAAAATTCTGAAAATCAATAGGGTTCTAAGTCAGAAGTAATTATTCAAGAAAATCATAACTGCAAGTCAATCAGAACTTTCGTTCTAGAGTTATCCTGCCGGCATACATACACACAGACGATCAGACGAAATTTTTTTTTGCATTTTCGGAAACGTGAAAAAAAAATTAAAAAAATGTAATACTGTGGCCCCATAGAAAGGGCCTCAGTAATAATAATATTGATAAATTTTTATTATTTTTTTTTTAATTTGGTGTCATCGGCGTCGACTACTACGGAATAAAAAAATTAAATATTAATTCTAATGCATAGGTAGGATTCCCCACTCGACCATTCACTGTTGGGTTCTAATTAACAGTACTGTTCCTAAAGTGGCGCTGGGAAACAGTAACAAAGCCTACACAGAACACGATGACACCAAATTAAAAAAAAAAAAAATA